AATATGTAAATTTCACACATTAGAGTTTTTACGTTGCAACCCCCCGTCATCCCCTCCTTCTGCAGGTGGAGTGATGGTGTAGAAACCCTCCGACAGTATCCTGCAGGCCAGGCGCCCCTGTGTGTGTGTGTGTGTGTGTGTGTGCCAGTCAGAGTAAGGCAGCGTGCTGTTTTGTACTTCGGAGCAGTGTGTGCCCGTTTTGGGTGAACGTCCAGGCTGAAAGTTGTGCTGCGTCAGAGCGGGGCGGGGATCCAACCAAAACTGGTTCTTAGTTACTTCCGTATTCTGTCAGCTGCTCTAGAGTCGCTCAGCGCCATCATCCAGTTCACCACATATTTCTTCATCATGCTGTCAGGATTTCTGTGGGATTAACCGAAAGCTTTCCGTTTTTCATCTAGAGGAGCGTGTTAAGAGTTGGTCAAACCAGCGATGAATTTTCCTGTGGAGATAATTTCGGATCTGGATCGAATTATGCGCCTGATTTTGGTTGTTCAGACCAAGGCCCGTCTGACGGAGGGGGGTGAGGGGAGGAGGCTGGGCTTTGTCACGTGGCCAGCCTCCCTCCTTCCTCCTGCGTAGCCAGGAGGGAGGGAGGCTTGCTCCTCCCCCCCTCCTGGCCAGGAGGAGGGAGGGAGGCAGCTTCCTCCACTGGCCGCTGCTATTTATGATCCTCCGACTTCTGCTGCACTTTGCGATCCGCCAACCTGTCCGCTGGTCGTCAGATCATCACAGTGAGTAACTAAGTTACAGTTGTACTGGGCATTAATTTTAATATTAAAATAATTATTTTTAAAAAATGTGTTCTTGTTCGCTGCAGTTATTGCTCAGAAAGCCACATAAAGTCTTTAAATCGGTTTGTATAGATTAAAATAAAAGTATATTGCTCTATTGAAAACATATGTACAACGCAGAGGTTAATTGTAATTAATCTTCGTAAAATTATATCAATGAAAAGAATATAATGACGCAAATTCCTGATAACTATTATTTTGATTAGCGCGCAGGTTTCTGCACTTTTTTTCTCATCCATCAGTTCAACGTCTGGCTCTTTTCTCCTCCAGCGCAGGACTGGGACAAAAAACTATTACCCTGGCTCTTCTATGATTATTTCTACAGTTTGAGAAGGCGCATGGTATACCAGAGGATGTGCAGTTGTAGAAGTTTATCACAGTTTGCCGCAGACTGTAGAGTTTCAGTCTTACCTTAGGAACCATGTGCGCAGTCTCTGGTCAGATCACTGCGCTGCGCTCGGCCCTGCTGCGTAAAGGCTACGCCCCTTTGATGATTACACATCATCGGCGCCCTCCTCCCGACCCCGCTTTCTCTTCAATTATTTATTTACGATTAATCTATTAGTATGATTTGTTATTTAAATGGCCATTTATATTATTTATGCTAGTACTATGACATATGAAAAAACATATCCAAGCTCGGGTTTTCTGGTGGCAGTCTAATTGTTGATTCACTGACGTTACTGCCTTAATCATTTTCCATCCATCCATTTTCTTTACACCCTTGTCCCTCAGTGGGGTCGGGAGGTGCTGGTGTCCATCTCCAGCTAACGTTTCGGGCGAGGGGGGGGGGGTCACCTGGACAGGTTGCCAGTCTGTCGCAGCCTTAATCATTTTGAAAAGTTTTTCTTCATCCCTCTGCCGTTTTTTTTTGTTTGTTTGTTTTTTTTGCCTGGCCCGAAGTCCGAATTCAAAAAGGAGCGGAAGTATTTAAAGAGACAGAGGCCCAATTTCAAGGAGCTAAATCGGGAAGTAAAATTTCACTTAACACAGTGTTTCTCCACCCTGGTCCTCAGGCCCCCTGCTCTACATGTTTTAGATGTGCCTCTCTTCCAGAACAGCTGATTCAAATGTTTGCATGACCATCAAATACTGCAGGAGCCCGTTAATCACCCAGGGATACAATTCAGGTGTGGCAGAAGGGAAACACCGAAAACATGCAGGACAGGGGGGCCGGTGAGGACCAGGGTGGAGAAACACTGACTTAAGACATATTTGGTAATTTCAGTCAAAGTTCAAGAAACGTTATCCAGTTACTTTCCTAGTTACTCATTCTCAAAAGTAATTTAACAATGAAATTTCAAAATCATGATGCACAACAGAGCCTGGGACAATAAGCAATTAATCAATTAAGCAGGAATTAGAACAAACTAAAATCCAGAAAAACTCGGTTCATCTAGACAAACTACCTTAGATCCACATTTAGTATAAAATTTTTTAAAATCAGATTAAGACCCAGAGGAACTGCTGTCAGGTAATAAATCTAGACCAAACTTAGAAAATATATCTACTTTAGAGAACCAAACATGGAGAACCAACAACTAATTTCATCAGAACAAGAATCCAGAGAAACCCCTAAATGTCAGACTAATTATTCTTATTAAACAAGAAGAACCAATATGTCGTTTTTACCTTTTTGTCTTTTTGTTTGTATTTCCACTAATTCGTGTCAAGCACTTTGAATTGCTTTGTTGCTGACAAAGAGCTGTAAATAAAATTACCTTACCTTAAATCCATGAAGAATTAAAATGAGCTTCATCATTTCCAGTCTGATCATTTTTGAAGGGCAGTTTAGTTTTTAGTCTTTGTAATCCATTTTATTCAGTTTCAGTTGTGTGTGGTTTTTTATTACCATTTTATTTATTGTTTTTGGTTGTATTTTAATTGGACATGTGCATTTTTTCCAGTTTTATTAATTGTTCTTTAAAAAAATAAAGTTTATTGGTCGTTGAGATGGCGAACTTGTATTATAATATCATTATCAAAAACTCCAAAAACAGTATAATTTAGTGATTATTTTTGAGACAATTTATTTTCCAGGAAAATGTGTTTTAGTGACGGGTGTGTCCACCTGGATGCCTTTCAGCCTAATTCTGTTCTTTCTGCAAATTGCCTCCATCTATGTCTCTTTGAAGATTATTAGTTTATAACCTTTAATTTAATGCACTTTACATGAAGCAAAAATGAAAATTGAACAACAGAGGTAGTTGAATCTGACCTTTTGTCCTGCAGACTCAGACATGTTCCTCCATGTTTTCCTGCTAAGTGCTGTGACGGCTCCAGCTTCCGCCGCCACCCGTAAGCTGCAGGTCAGAGTTAGAAACCAAACAACAGAAACATCCGTCAGATTTATGAATGATGGGAAACAAGCAGGAACTCTGACATCCTCCTGCCTTTCAGACCAACCTGACCTGCTTCAGGTCCTCGGATCCAGCAGCCGTGATCGCTACGCAGCTCCACGGTAACCATGACGACCAGAGGTTCCTGTGGACGAAGGATCCAGATTCCGCTCTTCTTCCTCAGTGCTCCTCTTCCTCTTTCTCCCCTCCTGCGTCCCGCTGTGAGGTCTGTCATCTCGGGCAGGTCTTCATCATCTGCGCCGACCTGCCGGATGGAGCCGTTCTGTACCTGGAGCGACCCGGAGTCCCTTACCGGACCGAGCGGAGCGGTACGGACCGGCAGCACAACTCTGGACCGAATCTATTTATCATTCATTTAAAAAATAATATTTCAGAAAATCCAGCTGAGAAAAAAAGAAGAAAAAAAACGGATGCGTTTCCATTACAAATGTGTCTAAATTCTGCGAACGTCTAAAAAACATAATTTTTTCATGTTTCAATAAAATGAAACTGAAATCACTCGTGAATAAGCTGATTCACGTGACAAGTCATTAGAAATCATAACGGTGTCACATTGTTACTGCCCGGCTCGTTCAGCTCATTGAGACATTAATTAGCCTCTCAGCACCAGACATGAAATGATTTCAGGGCCAGCCTGAAAAGCGGAGCTGGCTGGAAAAGTCGGCTTAGGCCCACCGACCCGTCTGCTGTTCCAGCCAGGAGACTCTGGGCCCGGTACCACTTCCACTGTGCCTCGGGACAAAGAACAATTTTTACAATAAGTAAAATGACAGATTATCCCTCCAGGAGGGGACGTCACAGATGTAAACAGTTTCTCATCATCATCTATCAGGTTGTTATATTTGGGAAAACTCCGCGTACGCGGTGTTGGTGTAATTATAGTCGGTGATTTTAAAGAACATTTATGGATTCAACATGTTGGAGTGACGCACAGCCTCTTCTGAACTGTGTGACGCTGCAGCTCCGGTGCAGCTGCTGCAGCTCCGGTGCAGCTGCTGCAGCTCCGGTGCAGCTGCTGCAGCTCCGGTGCAGCAGCTCCGGTGCAGCTGCTGCACCGAGCGCAGCGGTGCGAAAAGGTGTCTCAGTTTTGCGGAAAATAATTTAAATATGGCTGAACAAAAAAAAAAAAACAACAACAAAAACCCCCCACCTCGTATAGCAAAAAGATGTTTTATTGAAAAATCCGAGTTATTTCAAAATTGGCGTTTTTTCCATTAAGCCCATTTATTTCCATAATTTCAATCTTTACAGTTTTATGGTCAGTGGAAACGCACTGGCTCATGAAGGATCAGCTGCCCATCGGCTGTCAGCGCATTTAAAGCAGCCAAACCGTTGATTACTCTAGTTGTTCTGGCCTGAATCCTCCAGTGGCCTCCGCTTCTAAAAATGAGTCATTAATGGCCTCAAATATCTGAAATATGATCACACATTTAAATATGTGGTTAAATGATGATTAATAATCACACTGTGTCAGCCAGTGAAATCGAGGCGATGCTTTCTAGGATAAAATCTGATGAACTTCTGCTTTATTTCATCAGTCAGTTTGTCTGAATTAACTCAGAAATGACTCGCTGTCTCTCTGATTGGACCTGATGCAGCAGAAACACTTTGCTGCTCAGCCGAATCCATCGAGAAGCAAAGAAAGACCCTGATTCAAAGCAGATTATTTTGTTTTTAAATGAACTTATTAATCTAAGCTGCCCCTTATTTATATATATATATATATATATATATATATATATATATATATATATATATATATATATATGTGTGTGTGTGTTACTAAACATCTCTTTTAGTAGCATCTCGTTGCCTATTTTTAAGAAATCCAGTGGAACCAATTCTGACATCCTGATTTCAGACAGGAGCCGATTCCAGGCTGCCCTCACACAGAAAACTTGCTTCCCTTTTCAGAACATGCAGAAGAAAAATGTTGTTAGAGCGTAAAGGATGGAAATTAACAGACACTCGCACCTGTGCATGCTTGTAATTTTAACGTATTTTTTCTACTCTAAGTTTATAAGTTTATATGTCGTGTTTTTCTGAGAGCATTGAAACAAAGTCAAACTCCTCGTTAAGTGAATGAAGCTGATCGTGTTGCTCTGTTCCAGCCTGCCCGCTGCCGCCCGCTGCTGTTGAGCCTCCCGCAGGTAAAATCCCGCCCAGGTGACTCTTTACCTGATCTTTACTTCTGACTGCAGCATTATTCAACAAATCTGCTGGTGTTTAGCTTTAAAAACGTAAAAACTGGATTCTGAGTTAATTCATTCAAGAATATCACAAAATTATACTAAAGTAGCAGCGCTTCAATGTATTTTACTCATGTAGAATTAAAAAATGGCCAACATCTATGTTAAACAAATAGATGACTGTAGTACTGAATAACTGATTTAATTTCAGTTAAATTTAATCAGATGGAAAATAAAGTTGTGCAAATTGTGGTTATTTTAGAGAATAGAATCATAAATTGGTTAAAAAAGAGAGAAAATCAATAACGATAATAAATTCAGGCAGAAAAAAAAGTTCACCGTTTTTTTTTTTTTACAACATAAAGTTTCACTTACCGGAGGTTAAATACAGGATGTGTTGCTCTAGTCTTACCAACCAATCAGGGAGCCGCATTCACACATCGCTCAGCAGCAACTTGAGGCTTAATGTTCAGGGGCAAATCAACATGAGGCAGCGGGAACTGAACACCCAACTTTCAGATGACTGGATGATTACTCCACCCGAACAGAGATAAATACAATACAGTGATAAAACCTACCGTTTACTGTAAAAACGTAAAATGGAAAATAACGGAACAATAGCGATTTTGTACAAACACGATGTCTCACTCTGACATAAACTGTGTGTCTGGTACAATTCTGGGGTTAAAACCTCATTCAGTGCCAACAGCGACTGTCGACCAAGAATGAAAGTGTTGTTACTTCAAAATATTATCAGTCAAGTAAAAGTAAAAAGTTCGGTACAATAAAAATACTCCTAGGTGTTTTTTTAAGTAAATGAAGCTAATGTTTGCTCTCCGATCTGTTTTCAGTTCTGGATGAACCCAGACTGCCCCCTGCTGGTAAGTTTTAGTCACTTCATCTGTGGGGATGACAGTAATGTAGGTTAACTTTGGGGTTCTTTCAGGTATAGAAGATCTAAAAATCTGATAGTCTAAACTTCTATGGAAAAAAAGGCAAATGGAATAAACAGCCCAACTTCTCACACCTAGCATAGTGTGCTAGCAGCAACATCTGTTGCTATTCTTACATTTACTCTTCTGATGACTAAAAGATGCATGCAGGGAAAAATATTCATTATTCATCAGTAGAAGATCTTTAAAGACCATATGGACACAATATTTTAGTGACATTTATTAATTAAAATATTTTTCTGACATCCTCTGGTACAAGTGTAGGACAGACATTTACCTCCAGCGGTACAGGCAGGAATTAAAGAGCTCTGTATAATAGAATTGAGAATAGACAACCTATTATTTATTATTATTTATTTATTTAAAACTTAAATTAGCTGCCAAAAGCTGAAACACTTCCAGAAGTAAAACAAATGTATCTCAGAGTATCCGTCATAATTAAATCGTATTTCTGTCTGGATCTTGATGGTTTCAGCTTCAACATGTTCCTCAGCACTGACTCTCTCTCCTCTGTCTTGATGAAGCTTCATATTGCTCACCTGTTGCCACAGATTATTCAGGTTTAGGTTTGAATCAGATCCCGTTTCTGCTCCAGAATCGTCTCTCTGACCTGAATTCAGTCTGACTTCATGTTTCTGCAGATGAGAACACAAGAAATCACTTTGCTGCTGTCGCCTCTCTGATCCTCCTCATCCTCATCCTCACTGCGGTGGCTCATGGGTCGCAGCAGGTGGGTCTTTCTGAGGCAGAATAGTAATAAAGTTGGAATCAAGGCAAGAGGGACAGTTGAGGCCTGATGCACCACATCACACTTTCAACAGGCGACATGTTAACCAGTCATACAAAAGGATTATATGAACAGCAACTATTAATTATTATTATGCATGTTATGTCATTTGGGAAAACTATATTTAAAGAAATGTAAATATGATTATCAAGCTTTTCTAAACACTTACCACTTCAGAAAGTAACTATTGTACAACAAATTTATTGAAAAAAAAAAAACAGACTTTAGTTCCTTAATTTCTATTAAAGCTATAGAATTTAACTTTTATAATATATATATATATTTTACATATTTCTTGAAACTGTCAGTGTGTCATGACAGAATGTTATGAGACAGATAATCTGTGAAAAGTCGAGCTGCTCTGTCTTCTCCCAGTAACTACAAACAACCAATCAGAGCCAGGAGGCGGAGCTTAGCGCTGTCAATCATTCTCTTGCTTGCAGCACAGCCTGTCCTGAATGCTGAAGCTAGCTAGCATGGCCACTGATGACAGCGGATGGACAGTTATCCTGTAACAGTAAATTGTTTCTCCACCATTTGCACATCTAACAACGAGTGCATTCGGTTGACTGAGTCTCAAAAAAACTACAATCATAAATTAGTTGATGGGAACCACATGAAGTCTGGTCAGAAGTTCCTGTTCTGGTCAGAAATATTTAGCTGCAGCGATGAGGGTTGCCAGGTCTGGAAGACATCCACCAGTTAAGTATCTTCTGTCAGATTGTTAGTCTCTCACAAACCACCAACCAGGTCCGGAGAATCAGACGGATCATGGTGACACCAGACGGGTTCTGTTTAGCTCACTGGTTCTGTTGACCTTCATCGTCTGACTGAATTTAAATCGGACTCTGTGTGTTTTATGTTCCAGGACGGTTCTGGTGAAACAGCAGAACCTCCACATGATCTAGAGATGGACAGCTGTCCTCCGTCCCAGCTGTCTGTCCTGGGACGGAGGACAGACAGCTGAATGTTTGAAATGGACCCTGACTCGGTGGGTTCTGTAGGGTATCACCAGCTGTTTTCACATTTCAACCCAGCAGAACCTCAGCAGAACCTCAGAGTGGCGATAATCTCTGTCTGCATACCACCTCAATGTTTCCGGGTTGGCAGATGATGAAGTTCTGGTTCCAACAGAACCGGGTCTACTGGACCATGAGGTGTGAGAACGCCTTGATTCTGAGGACGAGCTCAGGTCCAGAGATACAGACGTTCCTAGGGAGCAGAAGCTCCTGCAGCTGCACTTTAATTCCTGGAGCCGCTTTTTGTTTGAACATTACAACTTTATTGTCTGACTTTTGATTTATTAATTTTCTCACTAATAACCTGAATGTCTCTGTGTTCACAGGACCGAAACCTGGAGGAGCGACCGACCGCTGGCCAAACTGCCCCAACCTTCAGCAGAAATCAGGTCATCAGATGAAGTTTTATCAGATGTCCTAAGGAAAAGGCTGAAGCTTCAGGGTAACTGGGCCTTTTCGGCGCCAGCACCATGACTCTGGAACAGTTTTCCTCTGGGCCTTTGCTCCTTCTCTGACTCGGGCATCTTCAAGCTTCAGCTCAAGACTTGTTTAGACAGGCTTTAGTAGCAGGTAGCAGAGCAGCATTCCCTTATGATTATTCCCTTATTATTGTGTTTTCTTACTCTTGTGATGTGAATGTTGCTGTGAAGTGCTTTGGTCATCTTTATTGGTTAAGTATTATATAAATCGATCAATCAAACAGGGTTTCCTGCAAACACGTGGAGTGATGAAGAGAAGGTGTACAAGGCAATGAAATGATGGACATCAATTTAAATTTTAAAATATTTTATTGATCCCAAAGGGAAATTAAATGTTGTAACTCATATGAATTCAAATTCAAATTAATCTGCAATGACCATCTTCAGTTATTATAGATGTCGATGGCTGTTGGCAGGAAAGATGTCTTGTAGCAGTCTGTGTAACAGTGAAATGGAAGAAGCCTCTGACTGAAGACAGTCTAAACCCTCACATCAAGCCTGTTTGATAAAGTTACATCATCTACATTTATAAGTTAATAAAACTGTAAACATTTGGTTTTTATTATCACTTCCATTTTTTCCTTCTTACTTCATTTATTCAATTCCATAATTAATATGAATTCTTCATCTGACAACTAGAATTCAAGTGTCCGTAAATTGATGTGAAAGCTTTTTCATTATGCAACAGTAATCATAGTTTGGATGACTGAGAATAAATATATATTCACCATAAACTGATCTCATTCCTTTTTTAATGAGGTTTGCTTCATTCAAACAGAAAGATGTTAAACTGATAAGTATATAGTTTATTAAATGAGAATATTGTGATTTTAACACATTCATCATCTGTAACCTGTAGTAGTGAAGCTTCCAAATTTTCCTACAGCATCCTGTCCAACTATGTCCTTATTTCACTGATATTATGTTGAACCAAAACACATGAATGAGAATCAGTTTTCCAGACTGTTGGGTCGTCTAAAGTGATTACCATCATTTACAGATTAATTTCTACAAGAATCTGAGAATTCTGTTGGATTCATTTAAATATTGCATGTTTAGTTTATTATTGAGCAGATAAAATACATTTGTGTTAAGTTTTTATTTAAAAACCAAAGATGAAGTTATTATCTTTGGACGTAAACAGGAAGGATCTGGAGTCAACGCACAGCTTCAGTTGTTGCAGCTGAATAATCAGGATGAACTCTGACGTAAAGCTGAAATGTGAAATGCTGTACAAATAAACTTGATTAACTGATTAAAAATATTTGATCAATGATCTGGGACAGGGGTCCTAAATCAAGTTGGGGGTCCGTGCTCCATCTCTCCATCAGTTTGGGGGCCCAGGCTGAAAAACCAAAACCAGAACTTTCTGGTATCAACTCCACCTGCCATGTTTGGATGAAGAAAAATGAGTAAAATCCCAAGAACGGCTTCCAGAAGGACAAAAACATATGTGCTGTTTTCAGTGGGTTGGATTATTTTAATGGTGTCTAACAGCTAATCCAGGATCCTACTGCCAGAAACCTACAGTAGGAGGTCTGGTGGTCATGCAGACCTTCCAGGTAATCAGAAATCTCCTTATTTTAATGGAAAAGCAGCTGTATTTGGTTTAGTTCTCCTCCGCTCTGGAACTACGAGCCTAAAAAGGTGTTGCAAAAATGATTGGACTATTCAAATCTGGACTGAAATCTGGACTCAAACACTAAAAAAAAAAAAAAAAAGCTACTCGAGGATGGAAGAACAAAATGACGGGAGAATGGTAAAACAAAGAAGCTTATAAACAAACATGTTGCGTCGATGAGAAGTTTAAAAATCGCCCAATAGTGTCCGAAACATAAAGTGCAGGCAGTGGCAAATGTTGCTTTATTCATCATCATCATTTATCATTTATTCATCATCATTCATCCATTCATGCCTTCATTTAAATGCCCAATTCTTATTGGTTAGCTGTCATCACTGAGGCCTGGCCCCAAAAACAGCATTGGGTCTCTTTCTTGACAAGCAGCTCTCCCAACCACTGAGTGGCGGATCCACATCCACTCCAGCCCCTGTGGTGCGTAACCAGAATAAAACGCAGCACAAGGGAAGTGCGCGGAGCGGCGGCAGCGTCAAAACTGGGTAAGCGTTTTCAGGATTATTTATCTAACATTTTGTCTAAAATGATGGAAACCAGACGATAACTTCCCCAGAGGGAGACAGTTTTCATGCCGTGTCTATCAGATCTAGTGTCAGTGAAAGTTATTTTTGTTGCTCCGAGTTCGCAGTGGAGGAATGAAGGTGGATGAAGGTCCAGGTCCAGCTTCCGAGGCGGACACCCACCCGAAGCTGGCTGGCTGGGTGTCCGCCTCGGAGCCTGGCCGCTGGAAGAGCCTGGCCGCTGGAAGAGCCTGGCCGCTGGAAGAGCCTGGTCAGTCTCCGATTGCGGATAAAATGCGGGATATCCGTGAAAATGTGAGGAAAACCGGCGCAGAGGGGCGGAAGGAGGCATTATGACATGTCGGAGTGTTTATCTTCATGTATGAAGTTAATTCAGACTCAGACCAACGAGAGAGGAGTTCACACTGCCAACCCCGCGCCTTTCTGAGCCTCTTCCAACTTGGAAGAAGCTCAGAAACGGAGACCAGAGAGATTCCTGAAACAACCTGGAAGTGGGTGGAGCCATCATGACAAACCCACTTCACGTGTTCAACGTAAATAAAACAACATGGCGTTATAAAAAAAAAAACGGTGTGAGCGAACAAATCTACAACAGAGTTTGGTAGAAACTAGTTACATTTATTCAATTACATTTTAAAAAATGTACTTTTAGGAGTATTTTTACTTTTACTTGTATAAAAAAAAGTTTTTGTTTGTTTGTATTTCATGCACTTTTTGATTTTATCATGTTTGTTTTTCTCCCAGTTCAGCTTCTCACTGTGGATAGAAGATCCAGAAATTTTACTCAAGTAAGGTTAACAATACTTTATATTAATGTTACTTATGAAAAGCTGAAAATTAAAGTGCAATAAAACTACTTTTAAAACAAAATAATGAAGTAATTGTGAAAATGTAGCTTTGGTTATTTCATAACCAAGATTTGGAGATAGATTTGAATGAAAACATAAATATTGTGGCATCTGAAGACTATTTTTTTGTCATATTTAATTTTTTTATATTAAACAAAATATTTCCTTTTTGATGTGTGTTTAAACCTTCACTGAGTTAAAGCCTTATTGGCAGTAAAGTGCTGCTGATGTGAACGTTTGAACTTTTGTAAGTCTCAGATTTGTCAGGATTTTTTCGGCTCCTTGTGTTTCAGGATGGATCCTCTGAGATGCCTCCAGGCAGTGGGTTCAAAGGTCAGACAGGTGGATCAGCTGTACCCTGATGGAGTAGCTCAGGGGAACCTGTGGGAGACTCCAGGTGTGACTCCGCTCTGCTCCTCCGTCTCTCCTCCTCCTCCATCCGGATGTTTGGTCTGCTTCCAGGAAACGGCTTATGCTGTTTGCAACAACGTGACCTCTGACCTTATCATGGAGGGAGACGGCATAACGATACCGATCAGGGAGAGCGGTGAGATGAATTTACTAAACTTCAATCTGGGATTAGAATTAGCCTGTAACTCTAATCCCAGATTACTAATCTGTTTGCAGGATGTCCCGTCTTCATGGAACCTGGTGAGTTTCTCTGCCTGATAAAAACACATTTCTGGTTATTTAAACATCAGATGTTGGTGTTGATTCAAGTCCAGGTGAAAAACTCCTGAACACAAACTCAACTGGTTTTCCTGCAGCGTCGTCTGAGGATCTCTGGTGGCTGATCTTCATTCCCTTCATCATCATCATCATCATCGGTGTTCTGGTTTACCGAAAGAGGAAAGGAATCTATAGGCCTAGCAGAAATGCAGGTTTGTGTCGTAATGAAGGATTATTCTGGTTTATTCCTCCCTAATGGGAGGTTGGTCACCATGACAACGTGTGCTAAAAACAGTTTGGCTAACTAGAAAGCGCTAATGATAAAAATGAATTCACTAATGCTAAAATGATTTACCAGCATCAAGCAGAAGTTAATGCTAAAGCACTATGCCAACATATTTACCAAAAACTAAAACTTTACACCAACTTGGTATTAAGCAGAAGCTAATTAAACTATCAACATGTATTTAGAAGCTAATCTGCTTTAGCAATCTGGTAGTTAGTGGAAGCTAACGCCATGTGCTAAAAGTTTTCAGTTAGCAAAAATGGTAAACCTAAAATTAGCTTTGCTATTGGCGCATTAGCAGGTTTGTTCAGTCATGAAAGAATGTAGAAATTTAAATAAACAGAAAATTATAAAAAGATCTGGATCTTTGTTCCCAGCATTTAAGATGCATTTTTTCCATTTATTTGTGTTTTTAACGTTCCTGTTCACAGAGCGGAGGAACCCGACGCTGCTGCAGAGGGAAACCTGAAGCTTTACCTCCACACTCCATAACTGGATGTTTTTATTGGCTTAATAAATTAAACATTTTAAAATTTGTGTGTTTCCTGTTTAAATCCTGCTTTGTTTCCATCAAGTTCTTACAAAATTTAAAAAGATTTCAGGAGAAAACATCGACTTTCAGCTAAATCATAAATCCAACAGAGGAAATCAAATGAAGGTAAAAATATTTTTATATTCTGCTTAAAACAATTAGAGACTCGGTTTAATTACAATAACAGGTTTGATCAATAAATAAGTCACACTAAAAGTTTTCTTTAAAGGTTTTTATTGCATAATTAAGACAGAAAACATTAAAGTACTTTGAGAACAGAAAACATTTAAAACCAGGGATGAACCACAGCTAAAACAGAAACGGCTTTAAGACAGAGCTTCCTCCTCCTCCTCCTCTTCGTCAGTCGGCCTTCAGGGCGAAGAGCACGTCGTCCTGGCTCACGTTGAGCCAGAGCCTCTGCAGGACCCCCAGGCGGCTGGGCTCCAGCAGCAGCAGCCTGCAGGCTCCCAGGCGCCGACACACGGCCAGGCCCTCCGACACGCCGACGGGCTGCAGGCCCTCCACCCGACACAGAGCCTGGTGCTGCACCAGCACCTGGCAGACCGCGCGCAGGGAAAAGCCAGACAAGCTGAAGGTTAGCAACGCCTGGAACCGGCATCAATGCATAATGGTTTTATTATCATAAATATTTTAATCATGACTCGCTACATGAGAGCATTTAAATGACATCGGTGGTTGATGAATGTGTGAAATTCCTCTCATGGTTTCACTCGGTGTGAGAGCCGCTTTCTGTGTCGGCCATCTTTCAGGCCAAAGATGGCCGACACAGAAGAGCAACAAAACTTCTGCGGTTTTGTTGCTGATGTTGCTCCTTTCTGCTCGGAGCAGAAAGAATAAAAACTTCCAGGCTGACGACTCCGAACACGGAGCCAAAAGTACCGTGAGAATGTTTCATCTGATGATCAATAATTACCCAATAACTGATCGATTTATACATTTAGTTTGGATGAATGGAT